TCTAATGCTGGCCTGAAGTTATTCCATGCAAATGTTCAAAGAAAGCGCACTCTGTCGCCCCAGCAGAGTCAGAGCTTCTGCTTGAAGGCTAGGGGGAATTTAGAGATGTCATTTTTACGTAAGGTAAGGCTGCAAAAGCGCTGAGAACATGGAGGATGGATGGCAAAAAAGGCTGATTTTCTTCATTTTATTTTTGCTAAATCCATAAATAGTAATTCTGTGCACAGCTGCATGCTCATATGTATATCCAGCAGAGTGCCAAGTCAGAGCAGTACAATAAATCCATGACGTAAAAGGAATTCCAGCGCACACAAGGGAAGTCTTGATCATCTTCCTTTATGAATGGTGTTCATGACTAGTTAATGATCTAGACATCCCTTGTGTGTGCTGGAATTCCTATTACATCATATAGTTGCTGCATTATAATCACACCAAGTACAAGCACACCTGTGAAGGTGAAAGTTAAATTCCAAGTATACTCTGCAAACTGGCATTACTGGCATTGCTTTTAGCCCTGCTGCCATTATTATTAAAGTTTTTCCTCCATAGCTTTACTTCACTGGACATGTTGCTATGACACTAAGTCCTACAAGACTTTCAAAGAACCAACTAAAGTTATGTGTTTTCACACTTGGTCCCTTTCAGCTCTCAAAACAATCTGAGTGATTATACAAGTATAAGATCATTTACTATCCAAAGAGACTCAGAACCCTCTGAAACTAATCGCACTGAGACTCCATCTCAGTTCGGTTCTTTTCAAGTCAGTGATGCACTTTGCCTAATCTGTGCATTGTGAACAGAAAGCGCTCCAGGTTGGTTTGTAGTCTTTAGGATGTCTAGGGATGGAAACAGGAGCAATCTGTTGAAATATCTAGTGAAAGTACATCACGGAGAAATGCAGTTTTCTGCTGAGTAGTTTATTTCTCCTTGTAACGCCCAAGTGAGGTGGAGTGAACCCATGTGAGAATACAGCAGCGTAGTCTGGCACATTCACACTGAGCTAGTGGGCTTGTTGATGACATTCTATCATTTGTCCGGCATGAAACCAGAAGAATACGAACATCTGAAGATGAAAAAAAATGGTCATTTAGAATGAAGACATCAGTGATCTAAATGGAGACATGACAAGACTGAGAAACTTAGAGTCGTCGGACAAGGCAAGAGACTGGGTTGTTTATGACCAAATTACAAACTGGCTACATGTTCACGTCATGTCCTGTGTCATGTCCCGCCTCCTGTGCGCTCTACCCAGGTGCCCCACCACCACACACACACACAAACACACACAAATTAAACACAGTATTTCCTGTAGGTGAGAACACAGACTGAATTCTGACTATTATGCTATTAATATTTTAAACAAACTTCCTGATCGAGTCCTGTTGTCTGAAGCTCCAGGGTTAATATTAATCTCATTTGATTCTTGTATTCATGAGTCTAAACTAGATCTAATCATTAATGATGCAATGAAGATCAAAATGTGAGTTAACTCTTTTTCTTTCTTGTGTTAACCATCTACAGCTATAAAGAGTACATCCATACCGAAGTGACTTTTAATCATAACCAGCTTCCAATCTCCAGATTCATCAAATCGAGGACTGTGCAGCCATACAACTGCGACCGCCACCAGCATTACAAGCTCCAAATTGTCTGACCCCAGTATAAATTGCACCATATCAATGTCCATCACTGAACATCAACATTTTCATCACTTTTTGTTAGTGGCGGATTACAGCACCAGCAACATTAATGATAAAAGTAAAACTACTTTTGTGACCATTGTCTTTTAACTGATTTAAATGTGGAAATGGGGATAGATCATCAGAATACTGTATCACTTGACTTATAGTTGTGACTCAATTTGACTTGCTTTGTTCTCACCATATTAACTTGGGACCTTCTTGGGAGTTGAGGGTTAAAACTTAAGACTTGCTTCTGATTTGCACATGTGTGACTTACTAACGTTACAGTTGTCATTTAAATACCACCACAGCTACTTTCCATACAAAAATAACAGCTTAACGGTTAGATGATCTAACATTATCAGTGTCATGACATCCCTTAAATACAAACTGAACATCAGACTCTCCGTGCTACTGCTGTCATTATGCCAACAAACTCCCTTAAAAAAATCTCAGAATGCAAATTACTGTTTAGTCCATAATGTTATTGTGAAACAAAGAAACTGTCTGAAAAGCTGATGACAAGGTCCGACTAGTGCCCACCATCAGCTCAATGTGTCAAGGGTCTACCCCGTTAATCCACGCAGAGGATCTGATACAGCTAACAGCGTCGTCCCCTCATTTAAACCCTGCAGCTGTACATTTACATCTACAGTGGCTGTCAGCCTGTCTGGCGCTTTTTTCTTACAGCATCTAATACTGTCATCCTTAATAGCTTAGGCTCTGCCAAAAAATTGTTTCAAGTTTACTTTACTGTCACCATCTAACCTTGACAACCAATCCCAGGAACTGTCCTGTTTCAAAGGCACGTCCTTCCACACTGAGTGTAGCCCTGCAGAAAGGTTTCACAGGAAACACAATATTTTATTTATTGCTACATTTCTGGGTCAAATCAGGAGGAAACGGGATGGACAGAGCATAGTGCAGATGGATCAGAACAGCAGGCACACAGAGGAGCAGGGTTAATTTTCTATTATCAGGCCTTACATCAGCAGAACACGCCACCAGTTGCTAACAACTTTATCAAGATAAAGAGTAGGATATTAAAAAGATGATAGATGATATTGTTTCTGTCTTTGACATATTCTGTGTCCATCCAAAGCACTCATGCTGATGTTGTTGTTGAGGTCAAACAGGTCTGACAATGATAAACCTTCTGATGCTACTTTAGTCAGATTTGATGTTATTTTCATGGAGAGATGCTTTTTCATTTCAGGAGAGATGCTTTCTCTGTATCTTCCTCTGCTGCCAGCTGTGTATACTGCATTCCTAGAATGAGAATGACAAAACTATGCAGAAGTACTGCACATAAATATCCACCCAGTCTGCTGATATCACTGACCAGCTGTTGTGTGTGTAAGATAGAAAGTCTCTGGTCCTGTAACCAGCAGCAGTTATATAGTGTAATGTACTCACAGCTTCATCCAGTGTGTGAGATTCAGGAGTATTTCTCATCTTACTCTGTAAATGTTTCACAGTTTTTAAAATGATACAATAAAATGATTTTGTATTCATTGTAATCGCTGCATTTGTGGTGAAACTGATTGTGGTCCTCCAGAGTGCACGGCCAGTGGATGTGTCACCCACTTTATCTCCGCCTACAGCTGCTTTCAAAGCTGATCAAACTGTCACCAAATGCAAAAACAGACACAACGTATATTCCCACAGTAGTAATGAAGATAGTGTATGTCTGTATGAAACTCATGTTTGAAGAAACTGTAACTCAACTGTGACAGCAGCCACAGCGAGGTCGGACTGACTTTACCTGCTGTATAACAGGAATAGTGGAGACGTCTGCAGGGTGTTTGTTATTTATTTTGGCTCATGAGCTGCCTTCATGTGTTACTGTGTGTCATTTTTTAACTTGGATGTGGATTCCCAAACACCGGCTGCAGGTCACCTGTTAGGGTTGGTGTCTCCTAACAGGAGGTGAGAGAGAAAAGGGAAGAGAGGCAGGTAGTGCCAAGCATACCTGACATCACCTCTGGCTGCGTCATGTTAGGACAGGTTGTGAGTCCTGATGCACACCAACACCATATTCATAACTATAGCCACATGCTGAGGACTAGTTTATTTATCTTATTTTAAAATAATCTTTATAAATTATATTGTATTTCATGGTAAACAGTAAATTATTCAGAGTGAATTCTGACAGATCAGCTCTGGATTTAAGGACTAATCTTAAATTGGTGCGGCCATTAAAATACATTTTGGTACCTGATCTTATTTTGCAACTTTCCTGAGCCTCTGCTCTTGTCAGGAAATATACAAAAACACCTGTTAATTTAAATGAGAGGTGGTCTGAGCAGGTGTTATTGTTATCCTTATTTTGGGTCAAAACCAGCACCCAAATTGCACTGTGCTACCTAATCACAATACGCATGGCCTCAACCATGTGTATTGTGGCTCATCTCCTCTCACCTCAGTGTAAGCACATTCATTCATAGTAGGAAAATAAAAACACCAATGTGTAAAAAAAAAAAGAATAGACATGCACCCTGTGCTGGCAGGGAAATAGAGTCCTATATCCCAAAAATACTGAAGACCTTAAAACTAAACCATTTCGTGCAATATTAACACGCATATCAGTTCAATAATTTACCACAAACCAGCTGGAACACAACAAATATGGAGCCTTTGGGCCCTTGCCATAAGATAAATCAGCTGACTGACAACATCATTAATTTAGAGGGTGTTAACAGAAAACAAGCACCACTCATCTTACTGGTGACTGCATTGTGTTTGTATACTGAGGGCTGCAAAAAAGGATGACGGTGCAGTAAAAAATAGGTCAGGGGGCGAGAAAAAACAGAGAGAGAAGGAGAGAGATATAGAGAGTGAGATCCCCTTAGAGAGAGCTGGTCACAGAGCCAGAACCTGTTTCTGATCAGTATATTCCATTAGTCACTATAATCACAATGCATCCTTACTACGTGGGGGATGTGTTTAAATATTCTGTTGTACTCTTACTGGAAACAGGAGGCCCTCTGAAGATCATGGTATTTTTAAAAATCTCCTCTGACCACATTCATTGCTCCACTTTTTGAGGAGGTGACTCCAAACATCTCTTGGCTTTTTAATTCACTATGATTTCATAAAAGGGTGATACAAAATGCTTCAAATGTTCAAAACAGTTATGTCATTGTGTACTTATTAACTTTTTCTGGAGCTTTCAAACACATTTAACATTTTTCCTAATCAGAGGGTAGTTGTTTGACTGTGATGAAACCCACTGCACAGTATAATAAAGGTTGTGAAATGAATTAGAAATGAATAGTAAGTCAAACTACTGTTTCTAAATTCAATAAAGAAAAACTTTCATGAGCAACCTTGTCATAGTTTTTAATTCAAAATTTCTTAACATGTAAGAGAAAGAAAGACATCAGAAGTATCTTATATTTCACAGTTTATCAATAAAATAAAGATGTACTGCATGTGTAGAGCTCGAATGGCCTTTTGTTTTCTCACTCATTAAATGCTAAGTGCCTTCATTTTTTAAAGTTTTTGTCTTTGATAGCTGAAGTTTATACACACACCAGTATTCAATGAGCATTTCTCAAAAGAAAGAAAAGTAGCATTTCTCTTATGTTATTGATGATTTTGAAATCTGGGCTATGAAATCCTTATGTTTTTGTTGCTATTTTAAATTGTTAAATATCTGACTTCAGTGTCGCACAGCTGGATGTGATCCAACACGGCCATAAAACAAGTTCAGGGCTGGTTGAAGAAAACAACCTTCTGGGGTGTATTAATAAATTAGGGTTACAAAGAGTGACTGATGGCCATTTTATGAACAAGGTCCAAGCTAATGTTAGCTACCAGCCCCTACAATATTACCTGTACAATGTTAACATCTATACAAAAAGCACTTTTCAGAAAAAAGAGAGTCAAGAAAAGAAGCAGTGCTCTTAAACTGGAGTGTGAGCAAGGATAAACAGTCCCTTGTGCAGGCAGACATGTCTCTGCATATCAACAGGTTTATAAGGTCCATATAAAAATATTCAAATTGCTGCATTAAAAAATGGCTGGTGCAAACATAAATACAAATGAAGCACAATATACAAAGGCTTTGGTCTCTTAGGATCAACCAGAACTTCAACCCAGTGATTTTGAAATGATTGTTTTCTCAGCATTATGACCTGACTGCAGAATGTTTTCCAACTTGAAGAAATATTTGCTTAGAATTTTTTTTCAACCACTCCTGATATGAGCTAAGAATGCATTTAAATCTCTTTAACATGGAAGACAGTCACTGTATCTGATATGCTCTTAGAACTGAGCCTGAGGATTTTGCATGAAGGAGACCTCATAATCATATTTTGATACCTCAAGAGCGCAGAATGCCGTCAATACCATGATTTCCAAGGCTCTTAGCAGGATTTGGCTCCAGCTATGAAATGAATAAATGTCTACACACATTATTGCCAGACATTAATAGATTCCTTGACATTAATAATGAAGATGGGAAAAGTTTATAACAATGTAGCCTTGTGTAATCATGAAGAATGTGTGGTCAGTGTGTGAAATAACAAAGCAGTTTGTACCACATAGAAACCCCATCTAAAAAGAGTTAGTGGTTTTCAGTGTCCCTCCCTCACATCAATCAAGTGATATACAACAGGTCTGTCCAGTTGCGTTCAAAGAGCAGGCAGTCCCACTGTCTGATAAAGGTTAGCTTGCCTGTTACCAGGTTCATTATTCACTCCTGTTTACCTCTGAAACAGAGCATGGTAATGTACATGTCAGTTCCTCTCATCTCTGTTCAAACATGGTTCTTGACCCCTGCTGAGGGGTTAGCAGCTCCCTGTTTATCATGAGCCCCAGAGATCCAGTGGTAGCAGTCAGTGGCAGTCTTATTGCGTGTGTGAACAGCATAGCGGGTGCAGTAAAAGATGCCCACTGCCACTATTACTACAATGATGAGACAAATGGGCACTAGCAGCCCCACAAGGAGCCAGGTGCTGCTCTGTTTCTGGCCCCTGTCTTCCTGGACAGAGTCCACAGTGACACCACTTGCTCCACTCTTGCTCGGGGGTGTTTGGGAAGGAGTGGGAACAGTTGGGTCTAGGGAGTGTGTAATCTCCTCATTGTCCCTTTTCTCCTCCTCTGGGAAGTCAGAGTGTTCACTAAGGGGATGTTGTTTTTTTCTTTGTTCACCATAGTAGCTGGCATCTGTAGGCATGTTGTGGTTTATGACTGAATCCTCTGGTTTCTGACTGGAAGCAGTGGACCCCGCCCACCAATTCCAAGCTCCCTCAGAGACTGTGGAGGTGGAAGGGAAGGGAAAAGCTGTGGTCTCCTCCTTGTCCTCTTCATAAAAGTCTGGGGTAGGGCTGGAGCTGGTGGTAGGAGGACTGGTGTAGATTGTGTTTGGCAAAACTTCCTGCTCAGGCTGTTTTCTCTGCCCCAACTTCAACCTGTCAACTCCTCCACTGTCAGTGTGTTGCCCGTGAGTCTCAGCCCCCTTTGCTGGAGGGTCCAGTGCTGTATCAAGGGGCACTTCTTCATGGGGAGCACTGGTGACCCAGATGACATCAGAATTTATAACTGTGGCCTGATCAGTCAGCCAGTCCAGAGGCTGCTCCTCCTCTGGAGGCCAGTCAGTGTGCGTCCAGCCGTAGTCCATAGACTCCCATACAGATCCAGGCTGATGGGTGACCCAAGGATAAGGAGGTGTGACAGCAGATTGGTTATCTTCTTCCCCTGTCTTCTGACATGAGAAATGATCAGACATAAGTTCGTAGCCTTCCTTACAGTAGCACTCAAATCCACCATCATAATTCACACACATTTGCTGACAGGTCCTGGGAAATTGACACTCGTCAGTGTCTTGGCACTTGCTGGGGTCTTCAGGCACTGGGGAAAAACCCAGATGGCAGTGGCAGATATGAGAGCCTGGAGTGTTTTCACATGCATGTTCACATGGCTCATTTATACACTCATCTAAATCCTCACACCCACCCTCTTCATCTAGGTGGTAACCCTTCCGACACTGACATTTAAATGTTCCTTGAGCATTCACACAAACGTGTTCACAAGGACTCTGGAGGCACTCATCTACATCCAGACAGCCACGTTCATCTGGTGCAAGCATGTAACCTTCAGGGCAGGCACAACGGTACCCATCTGAAAGAGGCAGGCACTCAAATTCGCAGGGGGCCCCCTGACAAACATCAGACAACTCACAGCTCTGCCCATCATCTCCTAGTTGATACCCATTGCCACATTCACAGTAGAAGTGAGCATCAGCCAGCCTGCAGAAATGTTCACATCCACCATTATTCTGGTCACACCAGTTGTGTGATCTAGTGGGATCAGAGCAGAGGGGTGAGTCTTTTGACCACCCCACTGAGCCATCTTCCCTCAGCATGCACAAAACTGACTGCTCCTCCTTGGTGTCTGCAGGGCAGGGCACGGTAGCAACAGATCCAAAGGGTACATGGGTTAACAGGCTGCTTACAAGGTTAAATGGTGTGGTGTAGAGGGCATTGCCTGCACCTTCATTCCACAAAGCAGGGCACATTCCTTCATAGGCATAATGGCAAAGATACCCATCTACAGGGACTGAGCAGGGACCATCCAGCCATTTTAAGTTATCATCCTGCTCTTGAATGCTGTAACCAATGACCACACAACGGTGTGCAGAGCACAAACTAGGAGAGTCCTCTTTCTGCCAGTTGATATACTCCGTGTCCTGGTCACCAGTAGTCCATGAGAAACCACGCAGCAGGCGAGTGGTAGCACACTGACGAGGCGGCCGCTGCAGGCCAATCCATACCTGAACCTTGGTGTGTAAGCGGCTGCTCAAGTCCAGAGTGGAAAAAAGTGTGGCAATGGTAGTGGCATCCTCCTTCCGCTTGATTGTAGCTAAATTGCCGTCATTCTCCTTGCAGGCCCTCCATGAGTCCAGGAAGGTTTTGCGTTGAAAATAGACAACAAAGCAGCCCTCTGCATTACATAGTGCATCCCTCTCTCTCAGGTCTTGACCCAGAACTGAGGAAACTCCAACAGGCAAAGCCAGCAGGAAGGTTAAGAGAAGAGAAGCAGCACTACTCACCAGGGAGCCCATTCCTTTTTAGAACTCAATATATCTCTTCACTCTCTGTCTCTTAATCTGAGTTTCTCCACACGCTTATGTCCCTGCCTTTACAGTAAGAGTTTCTTTCAGCTGTGTCTTTCTCTCTTGGCCTGCTTTTGCTGTCTACCTGAATTTTTCTCCCGACATTTGAACCT